TCATCCCATATTTTGAAATCTGAAACTGATTTCAGTCTTTTTGGTTTGAGTAACAATGTTTTTTAAACAGCTGCATATCCACTGTGACCATTTCGTACTAATATATACCCTACTGTTTTGGAGATAACGTTAACACCTGTACTTATTGCTAAGACAATTGCAAGCTTTCTGCTTGATTGTCGGAAAGGACATACTCTGGAAATAACATAACTGTTGCTTAACATAACTTTTGAAGAGTTTGGGCTCCCTACCTCAACTATTTCCATTACCAACGTTACTAGCTGCACGTACCTTCTTCATAATTTCCAGATAGCTCCTAATTAAGCATAATATTTTGTCTTCATCTTCATCTTGATGTCTATTCATTTTACATGTGCGTATCTGTTTTGGAAGCCTGGAACGTATTAACCACAGTACTGCTGAAAATAGTACGCTTGCCTGTACTTTTATAAACATTATGCTTGGGTGGAACTGCCGGATTTGATTGGATGGGTGACGGCCAATCACACTGTTAACTATCATCATGTGATTGTATTTTGATGTAATCAATTTTCATGGAATAAAATGGGAGCAATTTCATTATACCTATTTGCATTTTATACCTATTTTATTTACAATTTCCATGATTATTTCTAATACTGCAGATGTCATTTCTTTTGAACGTAAGTAAAGTTAACTTTAATTAGAGCAAAACGTTCATATAAGTATCGTTTGTTTTATTAAACGTATAAGTATTACTTGTTGACATTAAACGTATAATACCATCCTTGTTTTGTGATACATGAACATTCATTTAGGAATTGTCAAGGTATCATTTACTAATGTATCCGTGTCTTAACTGTATGACGTAGAGAGAACAAATACTATTTTTGAATTCAGCTGCAGTTACATTAAATAGTAGGGCCAGTAGATGACACAGAAGGCTACGAATGCACACGGGAAAGCAATTCTACATAATCTATCGATTTGTTGGGCTCGTATCTTGGTAGCAGGAGTTGTTCGAGGTTCAAGGATACTTTCTGTTGTTCTGTTGGAATCTTCTTCTTTGATGCCACTCTAAAAATATAAGTTACAAACAACTTATTTTATGTAAAGAACAGGCACATTTACATAACAAGTATAAAACAAGGCTAAATGAGCCCTACTGTTTAAAGTATCACATGACGAAACGATTCAAAATATTTTTTTAAAAGGTAAAGGCATGGAAGAATGGCCAGATGTGCACGCAAAGACTTTAAGTTCCACAAGGTTCCATCAGAGCTAAGGAGAGCTGATATACTTCGAGTTTGTAATATTAAGCTATGGTCGTGGAGCCAGGTCTCATACTTACAGTATGTTGTTATATATATATATATGAATTTTCTTTCTGTATTTATGGGTTAATTGACATTTTTGAAATTACAAAAAAAATTCGAATTTATAGTAATATTATTAATTTTTCTGAAGAAACATAAACTAAATTTAAATGAAAGGTCATCCTGGAACCTGCCTTTGAAAAATCATAGGGATGTATTCGTATAAGTAAGAAGGCAAAACAAATACAAGACTTACCAATGTCTACTCTGGCTTATGAGGAATCAAAGGAGTGATTTTATCCAGAACAAATACAAGACTTACCAATGTCTACTCTGGCTTATGAGGAATCAAAGGAGTGATTTTATCCAGAACAAATACAAGACTTACCAATGTCTACTCTGGCTTATGAGGAATCAAAGGAGTGATTTTATCCAGAACAAATTCAAAACTCGACAATATCTACTCTGACTTGTATGAAATCAAGGGAATGTTTTTGTGCGGAATAAATTCAAAACTTAAAAATGTCTATTCTGGCTTATGTAGAACAAAGGGAGTGCTTTTATACTTTTAAAACTGCATAAGCGACAGTATTACTTAATCGGAAGAAATCTATTTACATTTGCTAATTTGAAGCAAACGTATTCCTATCTAACGAAGTTATATATAAAACTTCATTTCAACAGTTATGTGGTAAAATAACGTTGTTTTACCGCAGAAATAAACACTTTCTGGTTTGTTATTTTACGTTACCAACTAAGGTTTTTTTTAAACAAAAAATGTTGCAACACTTCGGAGACGTCTGGCAGCGGTAAACATACACGTAGATACTGTACACATATGTAGTACATATGTAGCACATAAATAAATAACTTGTAAAACGAAAATCCCATATTTTACGTTTCTCTAAATTGTTATTGGAGAGCTCAGAAAACATAGCTTTGTAAGAATCGAATCTTGAATCTGTCCCCACATCATTTAACCATGATGTTTTTGTTTTTTTAATAAATTCACCAATTAGTGCTTGTTAATCAAGATCGTTCGATATTTTCCTCATAAATACGAAAAAGGCGAAATGATGTCTTTTTACAAAAAGGTATTAACCGTAGGGAATATTTAAAAATACTTTCATTATGTAGAAGTAGAATGTAACAAGACGAAATACTTTCATTATATAGAAGTAGAATGTAACAAGACGAAATACTTTCATTATATAGAAATATAATGTAAAAAACGAAATACTTTCATTACATAGAAGTAGAATGTAACAAGACGAAATACTTTCATTATATAGAAGTAGAATTTAAATAACGAAATACTTTCATTATATATAGAATGTAAAAAAAAATACTTTCATTATATAGAAGTAGAATGTAAAAACGAAATACTTTCATTACATAGAAGTAGAATGTAAAAAGCGAATTACGTCATATACGGTAATGATTCATATTTTGCCACCAGGTTGCTTAATTTGGCTGTTTGTTTTTTATTTCGGATATTTACGTCCCTAATATTGAATTGATAGACTAGAGGGAAAGCAGTTAGTCAACAGCACTCATCGCCACCTCTTGAGTTATTATAATCAAAAAGAGGGATTTGACTGACATTCTTATAACGCCCCAAATAACTCTTATCACTAGGGCCACGCACTGGACGCTTAGATTAGCCATTTATGAACTCTACTAGTTATTCAATAGAACATTTTATAATCCGCCATTATCGCAAACGAATGTGAAAGATTCACTATAGTGTACTTTCAACAAAGCATTTGTAAAGTTTGCCCTAACAGAAGAAGAGTTAATCCTAGCTTAATTTGAATGATAATATTAACATTTTAATTGTACTGTATTATATGTTAGTCACTATAGTTAGGTAGGAATGTTACATCTATCACTAAAGTAGTACATGTTTGTAACATTCAATAATTATACTAAGAAGTATTGACTGGAGTAACGTAGACATTTTGTATGATGCAATAGACGGTAGGAATGTTACATCTATCACTAAAGTAGTACATGTTTGTAACATTCAATAATTATACTAAGAAGTATTGACTGGAGTAACGTAGACATTTTGTATGATGCAATAGACGGTAGGAATGTTACATCTATCACTAAAGTGGTACAAGTTTGTAACATTCAATAATTATACTAAGAAGTATTGACTGGAGTAACGTAGAC